CTTTGACAATTTAGCTGGCAAAAGACACGAAAAATCGTCGATTCTTTCGTATTTGAAGCAATTTGGAAATTGAAGCAGAATAGAATTTAACATTAGTAAATAATATAAAATAAATATTGAAAATTATAACGAGATAGTTACAGTTAATAGATATATTATATCTACAGTAGAACCCCTCTAGTCCGCCCTCGGCTAGTCCATCACTCCAGTTAATCCGACCGTGGTCGGAGTCAAGAAACTTGTCCCGACTCGTTGGTGACTCACCGTCCGTGGCGTTTTTCTGTGTTCGTTACAGTATATATTTTACATTGTGTGTTCATGTACAGTTTTGTGTGTGTTTTCAACATGTCANAATTTAATTATATTCATTGCCCTCAGTTTATTAATTGTGTAATATTCTTTCCATCACACAAGTTAATAATATTGTAGTTATTAAATATTTTAAATATTTCTAGTTTTCTTAATCAGTCAAATCTAATAAGGTTATTGTTAGTTTTAATCAATTTTGTAAACTTAAATATAATATTGATATTTTCATAAAATGCTTTTGTTGGGAGTATTTAATTTAGTAAGTAAAAACCAGAGAGAATGCGAGGGGGTGCTGTGGTCAGTTGGCGCCAGAGTTAAGAAACTAGAGGTGTACGTTAAGCAGAGCCAAGTCTGTGTATTCTTTCGTTTTAATAAATTACAAATAAACATTGTTGGATTAAAACTGAAAATGTCTTTATTTATAAGAAACACAGCAAAACATTAACAGTTTTAAATAAAATAACTGTGATCAAATTTTGTTTTTAATTTTATAACAACTACATTGCTACATTATAGTTCTTAAATTTATCCTTAGGTGTTTGATTTATTCCAAAATATTTCTTCTGTCTCCATTTATTATATCAAAATGACTCAATCTCTAACCAAAAGGAATTCATATTTTATCTATCTATGAGTCAGTTCTGATCTTAAATCTTTCCATTCTGTAATTTAAATTCTATTAATATTAGCTAGAAATCGCTGTATTATTTTATATTCTGAGAGTTAGGAGAAATCCATATATTCATACTTGAAAAAACTCTCATTTTTTTCTTTAATTGTTCACTGGTCAGAATGTATACATATACTCAGTGCTTTTTTTCTTAAAAAGTTACTGTCAGTACACATGTATGGTGACTGAACATATATCTAGTATAGTTTTTACTGAGCAACTGCCAGTTAAGTATTGGTAGCCAGAGTACGTACTGGCTACCAATACTTTTTTATGCTATCTACCAGTACAAGTTGATCATCACTAATCCAGAAGTGATTGATGGGCAACAGAATCCAGTTCCATCACTAATCTAGAACTAATTTTGTCTAGCATAATTTCAAAAATTTCCCATGTCAATGTTCCACTACTGTTTGAGATGCTCAACATTACCAGATGTACAATAATAAAATGTACAATAATTTGCCAAGGATTTGCATTTAATGTTTGATTTTTTTCTTTATTAACAACTTGGGTAACTTGTACTGATTTACAGAATATTTTAAAGGTAGAATGGAAAAGTTAGCTAATTGGGTAATCCAACAAAATCATTTATCTGATATCCTACAGGTCTCAATGATGCTGGATTAATGATGACAAACCTGTACAGTGTACTGGTACATTACAGCTGTAATAAGAATTGCATACACTGTTTAAGAAAATATATTTGATGTGTATATAAATATATACACCAAATATAACAAATATATATGTAAGTTGTTTTCATTTATCCAATAATATCAACTATAAAGATTATTTAAAAACAAAGTAAGAGAGTGCTGTCATCTATTATAAATATAAAAAATCAATTATTCTTTTCCTTTTTTAATAGTTTTTCTAATTTAAAATCAAGATATACTAAGTTATTACTAATTGATGAAAAACCTACTTTATAAACCTATTTCACAAATTTGTTATTCCATTTTACATCAAAACACATTTCACATTTGTCAGTTGGCAGTAAAAATAACTGGACAGATTTACTCAATCTAAACTACAAGCATAGCTATAACTGTAATAAACAAACTAAAGTTTAGGCCTCATGCTTTTTTATTTATTATTATTCGGTGGAAGGAAAAGTCTCACTTACATGTTATAGTTTAAGACCACAAAAGTCTATCCAGTTCTGTAAGATAGTATTTTTATTTTCAATATAAAAAAAACTTATAAAAAATTTTTTAAATGAATAATTAAAAAAGTTTGCTAATTAAAGATATATATATATATATATCTCTTTAATTTGCAAACTTATAACAATCACTATGCATCACGTTTGTTTGTTCACTAAGCATCACGTTTGTTTGTTCACTATGCATGCCTAAGCCATTTGACCAATTGCTATAAAATTCTAAAGTCATGTTCACATACTTCTAACTTGGATAATGTCATAATCTCACCCTAAAATATTGATTGAATTCTGTATTTCAATTAATTTCTGTCTACATTCATTTGTAGGCTTTACATGTAATGCCATCTAATGGCAAAAAACTTAAGAAAATAATAAATTAAATATAATTCTTACAAACAATGATGTAATTTTTAAAAACATATTATATTTACTTAATTGCTACAACAATGATATAGCACAAAATAGACGCTCTATTATGTGTCATTACACCATTACTGAAACAGGTAGCACATAGCACTTGCTTGTGTACAGTGGAATAGTGTTTTGCCCTATACATCATACTTTTCCGGTTAGCAATAGAGTTGTGCCAGTTATGTATCTAACTCTGTTCAGTGGAAGTTTTTTGAATTGAAATAATACAGGCCTCCTGCTCTTAAGCTTTCCATATTTAGTCTCGACTTTCATCTAACTCCATTCTCAAGATTAAGGAAGGACAGACAGCAGATGGATAATAGTGGGAATTTATAAGTCTACAATTTTTTCAAAATGCATCCCAATAAGTACCTTCCAGCAACCAAGTGGATAAAACTACTGAACACCAGTAGTCAGTTGTGGATTTGCATGTTGCCAATGGACTGGCCATATGCAGTTTTCTGGGTTTTCTTCACTTTAGTAACATCTAAATAGGGGCCAGTTTTACATAGGTCTTTCCACGGTGCATTCCTCTTGGTAGATCACTTATGTGTTTTGTTGTCTTAACCAAATAAACCAAACCAATTCTAATCATTTTTCTATAAACACAATATTTATGAGGACATGTTTAACTAGCACAAAACCTGAACATTCCACCCCTCCCTTGATTTCATCTCCACTTATTAACTCATAAACACATTGCCCCAAACTTCCTTCATTGATACTGCTAAAAGATGTTCTGGCATTCAGCCAAATTAATATACATGCGATGATTTTAAGGCTCAAAGTAGTACTCAAAATCTTTTTCTGTGACGATGCTTATTTTTCCAATTTATTAACATGGTGACATTGCTTCATCCAAAACTTCCTGTAGTTGTAGTCTGTGTAATGTGCACTTTATTCACATGTTGAGTCTTAGTCTCAAATCTACTTCCACTATTTTTATACCACAACTTTCAAAACTTTCCTTTACTGAATGTTTTGCTAAGCTTTACTTTTTCAAATTGGTTTCATCAGTTTTTTTTATAGCATAAAAGCAGTTATTCTTGCACTTTTATGGGATTTTTTTATTTAAACAAGTCTTATATGAAGTCTTTCAGATATTAAGGTTAGCAACTTCAATCACATGTGGGACCATTACAACCTATACAACACGAATCATTTTTTTCAAATATTAATAGTAGACCAGTATTAATTAGTATTTATTGACCATCCTCTTTTCCAAGAGGAGGTCAACAACTACTTTTGGTTGAATTAACTTCAACCCCCTTCCACAGCAGTGTCTTCTTTCTAGCAAACCATTGGTTTGATGACATTCGAATATGAAAATTGCATGAAACAAGATTACCAGTGAGCACAAAATATGTTTTAAATGGCTTTCCAGGGTGCCAAGTTTAAATATTTGGTCCATTTTTTGCGAAATTTGATTCATTGGCAGATTACCATTTAATATTTGGCTGTGAATGGAACAGTTTGTTAGAGCTAACATTAGAAAAAATACAATATCTTAAAAAATTTAAGAATGAAAGCAATTAGAAAGAAATTGAAAATATGATTAAGGTATCATATTTTCAATTGCTCTCTACTTGACCAATGAAATTGTGCAATTTCATACCATCTGATTATTGCAATAAACGTGACATTGGTAGGCTGAAATAACCAAACCCTTTATGTGGTTTTCATTTCAATGTTTGTTAAATTATAGTATTTGATTTATATAACTACAAAAGTTATTTTATGTAAGGGTTTTACATTGATATTTGAGAAATGCATTGAAATTAAAATTCTGATCAAATGGCAAAAATTGTTAAAACACAGTAATATTTTTTTACCTCAATACTTAACAATTTTCTAGTAAATTCTTTCTTTGTAAATTAAATATCAATTGTTATGCCAAAAATCCTCACATTACAATTGAGCTTAATTAATGACTTACAAATTATTCTATCACTATCTGTTGTTATCTTTAATAACTAGTAAATTCAAAATACAGTAGGTTTATGCCATTTGCAACCAATACATTTAGGAAAATAAATAAAAAGAAAAAGCCTAGTGTTTTTCTTCATTCCAATCTCTACAATAAATATAATAGGACTTTGAGGGCATGCCAAGTTGGCAAAAGATGTTAAAGACAATAAACTATTATTACAAAGAAAAAAAATATATAAAAATACATTTATAATCATGGGTTTCAATATAAACATTTTGTTTCAGAAAGCATGAAATTTATCAAAAAGTCAGATAGAACATTCCGAAATCAATACTGCCTGATCAGTTGCAGCAAAGCCAACTAGCATATTTCAACAGCTATTAAATATTGCTACTGTAAGACAATGAGAGTTAATGGCAATACTGAAAGATCTAATTTTTTATGGGCAGTCTGTTCAAGCTAGAAATGAAGTCCCTATCTCTTACCACTTGGCCATCCTCATTATGGGCCTGGTCAAATCCATGATAAATATAGAAAAAAAAAAAAAGCACTCTTAGTTCCCACAGGACACAGAGTTAAAAATGGGAAAATACTGAAAGATAAATTAAACCATAAAATTAATGAAGTTGATGTAGAGATAAACATAAGAGAGATTAATAATTATTAGTCCACAGTGTAACTTAGCTTCTCATCAAATGAAATGTGAATATGATAACTGATGTGTAACAGATCAATAAGTATCTCTTGCCTAAGCATGTCAGCAGATGATTGAAACCACTGGAATTGATGTTCTACATGCATACTGTAAATGGTATAAATATAGAAATGTAAAATTGATCAAACTTTGAATTAACTGTATTTATTTTATTAATAAAAAGAGGTTTTACTGATTATAATGATGTAATATATGGAGGAGGGGCCTTTACAATGATGATGCTTGATGATAGGTAGGGAGAAAGGGGTAAGAAATGGCTCATTTTTTGATGATGTAATATATAGATGACCCCTACCCCTAATATTAATTTTTTTTTTAGTTAAGTGCATATCTAGTTAACTAGAAAAAATTTTAACATATTTTTGGGTGAAAAAAAGCCTATAGGTGTTTCAATTCTGCTTACATTGTGTTTCTGCAATTGTAAATGATGAGTTCAGAAGAATACAAATTTTTTATTTGTGCCTGCCTTTTAATTGTAATATTTTTATTACTGTATATTATTTTAATCAAATGATCAAAATCCCTTCTCTTCTTACATTAGTATTACATTGGACAATTACTTTTTCTATCTCATAATTTACAAATTGTATAACATAATTATTATTATTCTATATAATAACAATATTCACCAAATTTTTGTAAATAAAATATGGATAAATGATTTAATTAAATTTTATTTAATTCTTACCATCTTCTCCTGAATATCCAATAAATTCAGTAGCAGCAACATGAGCAGAACCTTTTTCATTGTGAGCTTCTACTTTAATTCGATATGGTTTGAAAGTTGGTTGATCTTCTATGACCAGTTCATTTTTCTCCCAATCTTTTATTTCTTCTATATTCCATTTTGCATTTGGAATATCATCACGTTTCCAATAGACTTTATAATAAAACCCTGGAGCATTTTGTTCTATTTTTGGCATTACCTGAAAACAGATTTTGAATGTAATATGCTCAAAACTTTAATTTGTTTCTATATTAACTTTTTAAAATATATATTTAAAATGATTACAATTAAAATATACAATTTTGTTCTTAAATGTTTATATTACTATATATAAAAATTTATTTAAAATATTAATTTTACATGAAATAAAGTTATCAGGTGTTAAGAGATTAAATTCCATATTTAAAAAATATACATAAATTAGTTTGTTTTATATGTAATAATTTTTTTTTTAATATTTACCGTCCATGAAATGACTAGATTATCTTTCCTTGTTCCACGTCCTTTCACATTATCTGGGTTTCTGTATGGAACGTCAGGAGGTGTTGAACAATTAGTTGAATGAGCACTTGGTGCACTTGGTCCAATTTTATTTCTAGCTATTACTCGAAAAGTATAATTGGCCCATGGTGTCATAGACACCTACAAATAATTGAAAAGAGAAATTTATTATTGGGATTATTTGTTTTGATTTGTTTCAAAATAAATTAATATAAATTGTTTAAAAACAAAATACAGTATTTATTCCAATATTGTAAACAATACAGCTGCAAGATTTTTTAAAAAGTTATAGACAGCATGCAGTTTATTAAAATAAATAATAGCATTTTTTAAAAATTAAATGAAGTGTGCAAAGCCATAATGTTGTAAATGCCAAAAAAACGTTTTCAGGAGAGATTAAAAAAAACACTTTTTCTAGTCAATAAATTCCTTCAAGTCTTGAAGGAATTCATTTCAATTTTACAATAAAACGGTAAAAAACTCACTAGGTTACAAATTCAATGGAATAACAAATTAACATAAACACAAGCTGTAACATTTTAAGCATTAAAAGTTGCATGAATTGCACTTTGGTGCTTAAAATGTTATGCTTGCTCATAAATTCAAATTCAAAATACATCCACTTACAGCATCACTATCACCACAATATTTTTTTATAAAAAACATTGTGTTTAGAATTAATTTCTTCAATAAAACATATTTAAAGAAAAATGACATTGTAACAGCTAACATTGTAATATTGTAACAGCTAACATTGTAATATTGTAACAGCTAACATTGTAATATTGTAACAGCTAACATTGCATAACATTGTAACAGTTACAATTAACTGAATGCCTTTCAGAAAATTTTGGAAACTAATTAACTAATTTTAAGTTAAGATTGTCATGTTTATAAAATAGTTTTATATATAAGAAATAAAGATCTAAGTTCTCATCTATACTAATATTATAAAGAGGTAATGTTTGTATGTAAGTTTGGATGCAGCAGGTAATCTCCAAAACTACTCATCCGATTTCAAAAATTTTTTCACCAATATTTAGAATGGAACTTCAGGATGGACATAGGCTGGATATTGTTCCGTTAAACATGGGGGATGGACAGTTCTTTACGGTAAGCCTTACGGGAAGGCTTACCGTAAAAAACTCTGCTTCTATTTATACTATTTTAGATGCGGTTTTTTTGCATTTTTGATTGCATTTTAATAGAGTACGTCAACACAATGTATACTAAGAAGGGATTTTCCCCGCGGGGGAGAAGGACAAGATTAAGGCTTACTGTGAAAAACTTGGCTT